TGATGGAGTCGATGTTCAGCTTGTCCTGTTCCGCCATCTTCCCTCGCGGCGCGTCTGTCGACGGGTCGGGCTGGTCGGGCTGGTCCGCGGCTCCTCTCTCCGGGCTGCGCTGCTGCCTCAGGCCGCACTCGGACAGCGCTGGGCTGGGCGGGTCCTGGCGGGGCTCGGTTCGGCTGGGCTGGGCTGGGCTCGGCGGTCCGGCCTGGCGGAACTGGAGCGGCTCCGGCCTGTTTCCTTCCTCGAGCGAAGAGGGCCGCTCTGCGCAGGCGCGGCGTCTCTCCTCTTCCGTTTGACGTGTTTCCCCCCCCCCAGAGTTTAAAGCTCTAAACCACGCCCCTCCCTCCTCATTGGCTCTTGCCCACAATTCAAACTCGGACGCCCGATTCTGATTGGTTCCCGTCACCGCCTGTCAAACCACGAGCCTCAACATGGGAGAAAGGGCGGAGCTAGGCCCGCCCCCTCTGTTATCTATGACGTCATGCTAGTCGCAGGGGGGCACAGTCTCTGGATTGGAATCCGCACTTTCGTCTCCAAGAAATAACCTCCTGCACAGTTTTAGGTATTTAAAAAAAAATATATTGTAATTATCTCGAGGTGCTCTCGGTGTTCCTGGCAGACTGGACCCCCTCCACGCCTCTTGCAGGCCGTCGTGACGGAGCACGCTCGGCTGTCCGCTCTGCTCAAAGCTTCTGTCTGAAATGCGCGCCCGGGTGCGGTTTAGTTTGTCTGCGCTGGCCGCCGGGGTGGTGCAGCTCATCCGCTCCTGAGCGGCTCAGTGACGTGACTGCAGGGCCCCTGCGTGGGTTCTGTCCCGGCGAGAGCTGGAGGGTGGAGGGTGGAGGGTGGTTCACTTTCCAAGATGTAATATGGAAAAGAGCCTTTATTGAATCTGGTAGGCACACGGGGTAGGTACCACATTCACAAAACAAACCGGTCGAATGCGACTCCGTCATTTAAAGCTTTTAAGAGGGAAATGCAGTATTGCTTGAACTCAACTGTGAAGTTTGAGAAATAAGAGCGCAAAGACACAGCTGATGTCTGTAAATTGTGTTCATATGTGAGGTCTGGCACGGGATTCGTCTGTTCCGTTTCTGTTCACTACTGGTCTTTTTGGGATCCTGTTCTCTGTGTTATCTGACGCTAAATAAAGGTTGAAAGAATCTGTTTAATTTACCGTGTTTAAAAAGTCAAGACAACCACCACGCAGAGACCAACGTTTTTCTGTTTCACTTTATTCATACAACCTATTGAAGCTTTTACATGAATAGGCAAATACAACTACCGAAGCACTATCGCAATCTTTACATTCATGTGTATAATATTCCAAACTTAACTACCGCTTAAATTCGTTCATCAAATAGTCAACAAATTGTTAAATACGTGAGAGGAACCAAAACTACATTTTCCAGGAAGCGAAACGCCTGGATGACCTTTGACCTCGCCCCAGCGCGCACAGCTTGGCTGTTGACGGTGCTCGGGAGACACCCTGTGGCAGGAGAGTGGTACTGCGGGTCAGAGAAACAACCTCCATTTTCCTCAGCAAAGAGAGGGCGACGTGTCTCCCTCTAGCGCCCACGAGCTG